CCCAGGGTGAATGGGCAGCTGCAGAGGTGACTGCATCTCTGGTCCTTCTGCTTTCTTCTCCCTCTGCTGAAGGGTCTAGAAGAGGAGGAGGCCTCGCCAGGGGAACGATTTCCCTTGCCTCCATTGCAGAAAAGTAAGTGGAGGCACTTGGGGCTCCTCCACACTTCACAGTGAAGTGCTGGTCTGCTTGAGGAGAAAGCATGAGCTGTGTTTTCTCTCTCAGTGGCCTGATAGGTTGCTTCTGACCCCAGCAGAGAGAGCAATAGGGAAGCCAATCTGTCCAAGTATTATTTTTTTTTTTCTCATGGATATGCAGGCCTTCATTATGCACTGAGAAGCCCTGACCAAATTCTGTTGCTCTCAAAGAATTTGCACAAGTTGGTAAGGCGCTATATATATGTACTGTTTCCTGCTATTCTTTAAGAACTGAAACTGCTTGACTACAGAGGAATATTGGAACATTATTTTCCTCAGCAGTCTGAAATACTCTTAGGGAAAGAATACCACATGCCATGATTGGCAGACTTCAGCAAAGCATCTAAATACCACCATTTCCACAGCCATTTCTATGCCTTTTTCCTTTTAAAAAGGAGTAAAAGTTTGATGATATATATATATGCACACACATATATATATAAAACCTTGCTCTTATACCATAAAAGAAATAATCACTTTTAAACCACTCTGGAGTTATATTTAAAAAACAGAATATTTGTGTAATGTTATGCACAATAATTTATATGTTAAATGGGAATTGGTACACTAGGAAGATTGCTATTTCTCCTAGTATATAATGCATATTAAAAAGTCTGAAATGAGGACTGCAGATGTAGACAGATCTCCTTGTGCAACTTCTCATTGAGATTAACAGATATTAATGTAGTCAGCAACTGCAGGTCTGATTGCAGCATCAGTTACTCCATTTTCTTTGCATGTAAATGGTACTATATGAAACATTATATTGAGAACGTAAAATCTTAGGTGCAGCCAAGCCAGTCTTATAAAGAATTTTTTACTACGAAGTATATTTTCAATATATAAATGGTCAACGATATTATGAATTCCAGAAAGCTCAAGTTCATGTATGTGAATTAGTACCATCAAGTACTATCAGTCAGAAAATGTGACTGAGCTAAAGTTTCCATAGGAAGATAATGGGATAATAGGGATTAATTAAAAAAAAAAATCTGTTTTGTGCAACTCTCCTATGTGATTATGGAAACAGCCAGGACATGAAACAAATAGATTAATATCTCTATACTGGGGGTATAAGAATAATGTGCTATACAAATGACAGTTATCCCTCTGTTTCCAAAACAGCTAAAGAAAAACAAGCTAAGGTTTAATGAGAATTCATAGCCTAACTGTACTTAACAATGATTCACATAATCTAAAACAATACTTGTATTTGTTCCTGTTCAGTAATGCATAGTAATTTCTTTCTTTTTAAGGATTATAATGGTTTGAATTTAATCCATATTGTTGTGTTCCTAATAACACCACGTTCTTCACAAATACATCTGGGAGCACTTTTGTCAGAAGTCTTCATTATACATACTAATATGCACCCCTAAAACAATACAGAAACAACAGTAAAAAAGCAAAGTCCATGATAAAAAGTAACCTACCCATGATTATGAAACTCTGTTTCTCAGTTATGTAATTTGGAATAAAAAAGAAGGTTGTGACAACCTTGCTTTTGTTCTTCAAATATTTATTCT